ACTTCAAAGCCATGGCTAGCTAAACTTTAAAACTTTGCATTCCTTTCATATCTCTCCCTCTTCTCTTTTCAGTGTAACTTCTTGTCAAGCTACAGCAGTTCCAGCTACAGTCTAGCACGGCACAGCAATGGAACTCCTTTCCTGGACTTCTATCTTGAGGATGGAGAAATCAAAACATTTCCAGAAGAGTTTCTCTTGCACCTTATTGGCCAGAATTGGCTCATAAGATCATTTCTGAACCATTCACAAATTCAGGGGAGGGTTTGCCATGAATCACCAGGAGTGGAAGTGGAATAGATGTTGGAAATTCAACCACATTCACCAGAAAATGTGGCAAACTGGTGAGAATTTTTTTTTTCTCTAAAGATATACAAACATTTTGCCACCTCTTGGGTAACAAAATATATAGGATGTCACTTCCTTTCCTGATAGGATATGTTGGCTCAGTCCCCTGTTATTCTTCTTGATCTTGGACCTCAAGGCCATGGACAGATCTGCCCAGGCCACTGGGGACCTTTTACTCACCAGGGCCTTGTACTCCACAAGGGACCAACCAGCCTGGGGACTTTCCTACAGACTAAGCACTATTCTCCAAGCAAAAAAAAAAAATAGATTTTTCTCACATATTACAAATCAGTGCTCCATGACTAATGTTCATTTTTCCACTTATTCCTTTGTAATTTTTGGCCATGGATCTTCTCTGCCTATACCTTTATCTCACAGAGATAAGAATAATAGAAGGATAAGAAATCAATTAAATAGGAAGAAAATAAGCACAGCTAGTGTAAAGCAATTACCGCAGGGCTAATAACCTCCCCTGCAACAATTAGACAGTTATGTCAAATGAATTTTAAAACCATTGGAGTTGTTTTGAGCAGAAAAACTAGGTATTGCCTTTGCTGTCAGTCACTATGACTTCAAATCCTGGGAGCCTGATTAAGTTGACGAAGGACCAGCAACATCTTTATTCATGCACAGCTCTTGGCAGAATTTGTCACAGACAGTACAATGCCCCCCTTTTCCTTTTTTCTTCTTCCCTGCCGTCTTTCCTCACTTCCTTTCACATGTACTTATGGACGAGCTACCATATACCCAAAACTGACCTAGGTACTATGTAATCACAAATTTCTGAATTAGGTTGTGTGGGGGTGGGGGTGGGGCAGAGCAGACACAGAGAGAGACATGACAAATCTGTTTTGTGACTGGTGCACTGTATCATGCAGTCTGCATTGTTCACTCAGTCCAATGTTGACCAAGGGTATCAAGTGCCCATGGTATACCAGGTTGGAATCCAGAAACTAGGAGGCAGCAGTCCTTGTATTCACAAGCTGTGGCCACACAAGCAGGGGATTGCACTACTACCAACTTTTAAAAATAATATGAGCAAAGAGAGGTTCAGGTTAGGGAAATGAAGACATGATGTGCTTGTTGGCCTAAGGTTGTCCGGAACAGATCCACCATGGAGTTGTTAATGAAAATGAGACACACAGGTGAGGGGAATGTTTGTTCATCAAACAGCAAATGGTTGATTATGGTTGCAGCAGGGGCAAGCAGTGGGCATCAACAGCCAACCCTGGAGTAGCCAGGGAGTCTTCAAAAAGGGTAAGTCATCTTGTGCTAGCCAATATTAAATGAATGTAAAGCTTCAGTAAGTAAAACCATGTGATATTCATGGCAGAAAAGCCAGGAATTCGGTTATTTTTACTTTCTCTCCTTTTCTTAATTATTTCAATCATTATTACCTGAAAACAAAATAAAACCATATCCAATATGAAGGGGCAAATGACAAGCTATTCACAACATATTAAAAACAGAAATAAGGTTAATGCATAAAGGCTATCTCAAAGATTAAGAATATAGCAAATGAAAGCATTGCAACAAAAAATGAGTAAAAAAAATTTGAATATGTACTTTGTTTTAAAAAATGGCAATAAACATAAAGTATGTTCAACCTCTTTTGTGATGAAAGAAATGCCAAATAAGATAACAAAGGTTTTTGGCCTATTGATTTTGCAAGGACATATACAGCACGTCTGAGAACAGGGAGGTAGGGCTTACAAAGTTAGAACTTTGAACTGGTCCTTCTGCTTACTTAAGCTTGGCATTAGGAGTTTATTTAACCTTACTTAAAACAGGCACAAGAAACAGAATCAAGATAGTATGGGAAAGGAAAAAGCAGGGGTGGTGGAGGAAAGGAGAGAGAGAGAGAAGGAAGAGGAGAGATGAGTTGATTCTTAGGCCTGAGACATAGACTATACTGTAACAGAGCCCCTTTGAAATTGAAAGAGCTAAAATACTTTTCTGCAGCTTCCTGTTTGTTATTTTCTTGATGCCAGTCCAAGTTGAGAAGCTTTGCCCAAAGCCCAGGCAGTGCCATCAAAGATTGAAAAAGAAATTGTGATGTGTTCTCTGCTTAGCTAAATCTACCTATATATAATCCCTGCCTTTTCTTTCTATATATCTTAACCATGTCTGTAGGAACTGCAAAGAGACAGTCTAGCTGATTTCTACTCAGTGTTGGCCGAACTGTATTAAGGGTCATCTTATCTTTTTACATCCTTTATTTCTTATGAGGGAAGGTGACTGAATCCAGCCAGCAGAGAGGGTTTGGGGTGGGTGTGGGACCTCAGGTTCCCTGGCTTGGCTGCTGTAAGAATATCAAGAACTAGGTAGAAAACAAATTCTTCACAAAACTCCACCTGGGCCTGGCCCTGGTTCAAGAGGTGGAGTATGCACTGTCCCCCAGAGAAAGGAGCCACCATGTTCTTTTTTTCCCAGGGAAAAGTAGAGCTAAAGGATGATCATAGGGCTTCTTGTGAGACAGGAATTGCTTCTGCAGAAACTCAAGGACAAAGGAGGTCACGACTAGAGTTCACTGTTCTGTCTGGAAGTGAGGAGCCAGGAGCAGGCCTGAAGGAGGTCTTATTTGATGAGAGCTGGGTGAAACTCGCTTTTAAAATCATTTCCCTTAATCAGCAAACAAATTATATTTTTGCCTTTTCAAGGACACTTAAAGAAAAAGGACAAGTTAGGCTAAAGGCAAGTTTGAGAAGTCCTTGAGTTAAATGGAAAAAAAAAAGCCTGAATTAATATAGGAAGAACTCTCAGACAGTGAAAGACGTGAGATGTGGCTAGATACCTGTCCTTGCGGGCTGTGAGAGTCACCTTATGTGCTGCTGCATCCACCCAGCTGAGTCTGGGCTGTGCCCCCAGCAGAGTGGAAATCAATCAGAAGTGAAGCCAGGGCAGTGCTGCTGCGGAAATCAATGCCTCAGTTGCCTTTGATCACATGAGTTGCTCTTTCCAAATGCTTTCTTGCTCTCTCCTCTTCCCCCAGCCCCTTCTAATATTGTTGCTAAGACTTAGCTTTGATTGGTTATCTAAATAAGCTTCATTTTCCCTTCAAGCATCCTCCCACCTTCAGCTCGGTAGAAAGGAGGACAGTAAATTGAAATTAAATGTGGATGTTAATTTGTCGATTCAGCAGCGAGACTGGACAACATCCAAGCTCAGTGATGTTAAAATCAGATTTTTTTGGAGTCACTCTGTTCCTGCCCAGCTCTACCTCTGATGGGGAGCAAGTTACTTTGCCTCTTTTTGCCCTAAATCTACTCTTACCAAAAATTGAGGGGTGGGATGTGTTATGGATAATGTTTCTCCCAGATTTAGTATTTTATGAGACTCAAGATAAGCAACACAGAGCACAAAAAAGTGATTCCTACAATATCAAGAAACACTTGAACAATATTCAAGCAGCTTAATAATTTTTAAAAAACATATTAAAATAATGAGATATTTTCTTACCCTTGCAGTTTGGGAAAGATTTAATAAAAAGAAAATGGGTCTCTTTTGCACTGGGCTGAAGAAGGGAAACCAATGCTTTTGGCTGGAGCAGACCTTTCCTGAGGATCGTTTGTGAATATACATCAGAAGTCAAAATGAGCATCATCTTTGATCTAAAAACTCCACTAGAATGAGTTCTGCAGACATAGTCAGACTCCTGTATAATTTTAATTACAAGGAGGTTTATCACAGTATTTGTACTACCAAAAATCAAAGGCTGATCTTCCATTGTCCAGGACACATTATGTGACACATCTTGGCAGGTGTGGGGACACCCAAAAGTGGCCCACATACACAGCTAACATGGGTCTCCCCGTGGTCCCTCACCCTATCCACACTTGGAGGACTACTGTTTCACCCAGTGAGATCCTGCCTTGAACAGGGTGCTATGGTCATCTGTCCTGAAAGACAATCATTGGCTTCAGGACCAAGTGGACATCTTAGGGCTCAGTTGCCCAGGCCGTTCACAAGGAACCTACCCCAGCCATCATCAAATTCTTTCTCAATGGAACTGCCTGCCTGTCTGCTCAGTGCCCTTACTCACTCTCATCTCTGGTCCCCAGGGCGCCTGCTTCCTCCCTACTTTTCCTTCTCCTACCTGAATCCTTCCCTCCTTTAATGATGGCTTTCAAGAAATGTCTGTTGCCATTACCTGACCCCAGTCAATGCCCACATACTCTCATATATTAGCGTGTACCAACTATTTTGTTCAGTTTGTTTTGAGTATACCTATCTTTCCATTTATAAGACGCATGAAGCTAGTTTCATATTATGTATTTGAAAGGTGGTATGATAGGTTGTTCAATTAAACCTGGATTTCAATCCTGTGTGATGTTAGATAAGCTACTTAACCTCTTTGATTTGGCTTTTTATCATTCATAAAATGAAGACTTTGGTGCTTTTTTCACAGGATTGTACTGTGGAAATGGGGTCATTGTTAGCCATGTAGCACAATACCTACTCTTTAGCACATTCTCAGTGAATGTCAGTTCTCTCTTCCTGACTCTCCTTGGGAGGAGTTGGCTTAGCTCATGGTAGCTATAATCTTAAATCTTAGGACCTGGACAGTTCCTCAAGGACATCAAGAGCAATGAGTGATCAGAAGGGGACCAAAGCAGTCCCTGGAAAAGTAGAAAAGCCCCCCTGTGGCAACTTACCTGATGATCGTCAGAGGAATAAAGTACACTAGGAAGGCCACAATGGTCATGTATGGGGTCCAGTACGAGTCATCAGGCCACAGGGCCCAGCACTGCACTTCACCATTGGAGAGTGTCCTTTTCCCGAATATGATCAGGGTGGGAATAGAGAACAGGAAGGAGAGGCTCCAGGCAACCCCGATGAGGACCTTAGCTTGCTTTTCTGCTTAGAGGAAAAGGAGAGATGCCTGAGTACCTGGTAATATCTTCAGGAACACACTTGGAGTCTATTGTAGAAAAGGACTTCTGTGAGAGGGCTGCTTGGACCTCTCAGAACCTCTTGCAGCCTCAGTTTCCTCATGTGTAAAATGGGATGCTAGCACCTGTTGCCTATAACGTATATCTCCTACCAAAAGTATAAGTTCCCACTTCCCTGTGTTCCCCCAACACTGAGAGGATTCTTACTCTAAAGATTGTTATCTGGTTGGTGGAATTTTCTGTCTAAGTGTTTAATCTTGCAATTCTTTAGTTATTAGCTAAAAATGAGCATTTATATATATATATCTTCTGTTTATTTGTGTTTGCTTCTTTATCTGTTTATTTCTTTTGCACATTTTGTTTTTCAATTTGTATGCTCTTATTTCTTTGCCACAGTACTGGGGATTTATATAAGGGTGGCTTTACCATTGAACAACATCCCCAGCCCTCTTTATTTATTTATTTTTATTTTGAGACAAGATCACACTAAGTTGCCTAGGTTGGCCTCAGACTGGCCATCCTCCTGCTTCAACGTCCTGAGTTGATGGGATTATCATGACTGGTTTTTGTCAAAGTTCTTTATAAAAAGGATATTAGTTCTTTGCCTCATATGTTCAAATATTTTCAATTCATCCTTTTGCTTTTAATTTATGAAGTTTATTATTCGCATAAATAGTTTAATAATTTTGATATAGTAAAAAACTCTCCTTGTTTTCCTTATTGTTTCTGCATTTGGTATGATTCCTAGAAGCAAATTTCCTTGGCTAAGATTTATTCATATATATTCCTTTGATATTTTTTATGTTTAAAAGGTTTCTTTTTCAATCTAACAGGAACCTTATTTGTAATTAACTGTGAAATGTGGTAATTTAATTTTTTTTAAGTATGTAGAGAGCTATTACAACTCTACATGCTGACTCATTCTTTCCAAGCTAATCGGAAAGTTCATATGCTTTATATATACTATTATGATTACAGTATCTTATTGTTCTAACGATCAAAGTTTGATTTGTGTTTTAATATCTGGCACTGCATAAATCTCTTCACTATTATTGATATTTTTCTAATTATTTTTATATTTATTTTTTCCTAAAGAGCTTTACAATTGTCAACTTCTCTGGAGTTGCTGACTAAGGAAGCTACCACTTTAATAAAAAGCAGTAAAAAATACATTTACTATTCAAAGTATCTGTGTCAGTTTGTATCCTTGTCAATAGTAAATGAAATTACCACATTTCCTCACCTTCTTGCAACTCTCCAACGACATTCATTACACTTTATTCTAAAGTTCTGCTTGCTCTATTAACTTTGTTTTCCTTAGGAGTAAATTCTGTGGAATGATATTTTAAATGTATGATCTATTTTCCACAGTTTGGCTTCTGACACTTTTCCTTAATAATATTTGATTGCTCCTCATCTTTGTCGCCAAGATTTTCAGTTATGTTGCTCATTTTTTTCAGTTTTCACAGTCAGCTTGTGGGAAGGTGGCTTAACACTGGGCGTGGAAGAGGGTGGCCGCTGCTTGTGGTTGGAGTTGTGGTCAGTTGGTCCTACGGTGAGGTCCCCACCATCTCTCCAAGTCTTCCCACAGCCCCAATCTGTCTCATTGAACTCAGCATTCTCACTGAGCTTGCTTATTTGAAAGCAGAGACTCCATTTCTGCTGCCTGTGTGCAGTGAAGCAGGGCAGCTGGAAGGGAAATGTACTTAACCCTCCATATTGTGCTGCAGAAATCACTCTGTTTCCTGGGTCCTCTCCTGCTCTGGGCACGTACAGAGTCTGTTCTAGGAGTACTCTGAATACATCTGACATATTACTGCAAGCATCATCTGGGGTTCTGTGGGCTGACCCATCTGCTTCTTTCTATCAAGGATCTTCACTATTTCTGGGTCAAGGAGGATTTCCTTTATTTTTAGTATAATAATCAATAAAAAAAATCTTTTTTCATTTTTTTTCCTGTAGTTTTGGGGTAAGAACTATGAAGTGCTAGTTTCTAGAAAGTGAGCAAGTTGAAGTGGGAGTGTTCATTTCTTTGCAGATATGCTTGTCAATAGGGCTCTAAAGGACCTTGGTGGAAACACAGAGTCAATGTCAAAGGCGGGTCCTTAGCCATCCCTGGGAACAGTAAGCATTTTCCCAGGTATCTCAGCTTTTTCTTCTATACCCCTTTGAACAACAAGATCTATGAAGTGGGGAAGGAAGTACTGAAGGAGAACAAAGAGAGGACAAGGAAAAGAAGGAGGAAAATAAGAGCACTATTGTTAAGAATAAAATATCAATGAAAATAATCCCACCATGAAGGGAGGCTTGCTTACCTCCTTGCAGAAACTTCATGGGGTAGACGATGGCATGGTATCTGTCTATGCTGAGGGACACCAGGACGTAGGTAGAGGCATAGAGCAGTACAACCTAAAAAAACAAGTGAGAGGAGTTATGTGACATCATACAGGTGAGGAGCACATGTAATGAAAAGAATTGTCTTTTATGTTATTTAGAAATCTGGGATGAGGGTTGGGTTGTGGGGGGGGGTGGTGCTGACATTCCCTGCTGGGGAGTAGGTTGCAGTTCTTGATGCTGGAATTTGCATTGCTACTGGTGATGGGTGAGAATGCTTTTAGCTCCCACTCAGTCATTCAACTGGCTTCTTGGAAATTCCATATTACAGGATCAGTCAGTCCCTCTTGACATTTGCATGGTACATTTATTTGTAATTGACTTTTAAAGCTAAATTAATTTTCTCTGCCACAATTGACATTCCAGAATAATTAGAAACAAAGGTTCATTTGCCTTTTATCAGTGTGAATAGTTGAGAAATGATAGAAGGGTTCCGGTTTCAATAGGTCCATGTGCTGTTCTGAATCATTTATCATCAGCAGCACCGACACCATCAGAGAGCTCCCCTGCTTCGTCCACTTCTCTAGCAGAGCTGTTCACTAGGGTCAGTTTCTGAGTCTCTTTTCCCTCCTCCACACTGCCTCTTTTATTAACCTTACCCACACCCTTTAATTATCTTGTGCAGTTTTATTTGCATACTCTGCAGAAGAAGAAATTGGGATATAAGAAATTAATATCTCTTCTGCAAGTGACATATTTAAAATGTAATTAAATGAAATATCTCTGAAAGGATGATCATGGTGGAAAATTGTCAGGTAACTTGAAACTTCATTTGTACCAAGAGCCCAGTTTATCTCTGCTTTGTAAACTTAGGATCAAATCTAGAAGGGGTAGAAGAGTAAAAAAGACTGAAGACTAAAGCCTAAAGATGAGTGTCTTTCTTCTTGCTATTTACCTATGTGCTGAATTTGTACCTTTTTGTTCTTTCTCCAGCTCAGACAAGTAACAACCAACTGTAGTTGCTCCTTAACTTACAATGGGGTTACACCCCAATAAACCCATTGTAAGTCAAAAAGACATTAAGTTGGTCATGCATTTAATATATTTAACCTAGCTCAGCCTAGCTTGCCTTCAATGAGCTCAGAAGACTTATCTTTATTAGCCTGCATTTGGGCAAGATAATCAAACATGAAGTTTATTTTACAATAAAGTGTTGAATTCCTCACTTAATTTATTAAGAACTCTGCTGAAAGGAAAAAACAGTATGGTTGTATGGGTTTGCTTTGCACCACTATAAAGTCTAAAATTTTTAAATTATATCATGAGAAGTTGCGGACCATCTGTATATTATCTTCCCCCCACCCTCATCTTGGTAACACTACCACAAATGCATCTCAACATTTAAGTTGTGGAAGGTGCCACAGGGAGAGGAAAATGAGGAATGTTCAGAGATTGAAGGCTCCCCTGAGAGACATAAACAGGAATTCTACTCTTGTGTAAAGGAGACAAATAGAGAAAATGGATGGCTTCGTTGAAGGGAAAAATCAGACATTTGTGTCCTTTGAGCAAAATGAGGCTTCTATGTTCAGTGCATGAATTCAGAGTTATTGAGGCTGACCACACACAGCGGAGAAGGTGGCATTGTAGAAAGGCAATAAATGGGACGGAAGGTCATGGAGAAGGTCATAAGAATCTTGAACATCTGTAGCTGCTTTGAGTCAGGACCTGGAGCAAGAGGAAGGATCACCAAAGTTGGGGCTAGGGCACAGGGCATAGGGCACAGGGCCAGGGCACAGAGCAGAGCAACAGAAAATGTTAGCAAAAAGAGATCAACTTTGAGACATTATCAAAATGATATTCAACTTCAGAGATGAAACATCTTCAAACATCTAGGCAGGGTAAAAAAAATTAAAGGTTATCTAAAAAATGCATTTCAAATTATCACGCTTCTTCTCCACAAAAATAAATGCCAGAGAACAGTATAACAACATGTTCAGAGTTTTGAAAGAAAAATTATGATCCAAGAATTTTGTAAATATAACTTCTGTGCCAAGGCACAGTACAGGTTTTTTTTTTTTAAACATACATAGAAGGGAGGAAATTTAAGAGTACCACATGCTCTTCCTTAAATTCTTCTTGAGGAAATATTTGAGTTGATTCAGAATTATTTCAAAATTAAAAACTCCAGAAGAGGAAAGTGGATAGAATAGTAACAACCATGGTAAGTAAAGATGTTAGGAAAATATAAAATGTTTACAAAATAATTATAAATGTAGTTATGAAAAATTTCAGGGAAAAATCTGGGAGTGGAATGAGGGAAGAGAGTAACAGGAAAGAAATCATGTTAAATTTCCATTTAGACATTTTATCTATCTCTTTTGCCTGTATTCTGATGGAGATATAGTAAATCTAAAAATTAAATATAGCTATGATGGAGTGAAATAAAAGTAGAGAAAATTAATGTATGAATCCTATAACTGCTCTAACAGATTCCATAAGTCTGGTGGCTTAAAAAAAACACAAATTTATTATCTCCACAGTTCTGAAGACTGGAAGTCCAAATCAGTTCTACTAGATCCAAATAAAGGTCTATGAAGGGCTCTAGACCTTGCAGAAACTCTGAGGGAAAATCCATCCCTTGCCTCTTTTAGCTTTAGCTAACTGCCAGCATTCCTTTGCTTGTGGACACATCAATCAATGTCTGTGATTACAGTACCTTCTCATCTATGTGTCAAATCTCCCTCTGCCTCCTGCTTATGAATCCCTGGACTAATTCAGGATAACCTTCCCATTTCAAGATTTCTAATTTAATCACTCATGCAAATCTCTTTTGTCATGCATAGGTTTCAAGTATTTGAATGTAGATAATCTAGGAGGGGATATTTTTTCAGCCAACTATAATTAATAACCAAATAAAAACAAATAAGGAAAAAGAAAAGCTTAACAAAGGAAGGTTAAAATGAAGAGAGTAAAATAATGATAAACACTGGTTTGCACAATTCATTCGGATGACTTAAGCTTCATTCTAAAACTCACTATTTTAAAAGAAAATATTCCCTAAGATCCAACCATATACTGTTTGGAAGAGAAACCACTAAAATCAAATACTATCTGAGTTTAAAAACAAAGGAATGGTCACAAGTATATAAAGAAATTAAAACTAAAAGAAGGCCTTCTTTATAATATTGATATAATACAAATTAGATTCAAAGCAAATGATATTACATGTGATATAGGGATTATTTATATTGACAAAAATATGACCTATAATGGTAATAGAACATTCATAAACTTATATGTAATAAGTAACATCACAGTAAATGTATATAATAAAACATTACTATTTCTACTGAAGAAAAAATACAAGCAAGAAAAAACAAATTTTGTAATATAAGAATGATAGACATTATTGTAAAAATCTAGACAACATTTCAACAATTGGTTATATCCCAAACGACCAAGAAAGAAAATTGCTCAATAGTTTCCAAAAAGTAGAACTTAAGCAATTCATATATTTCAAAAAAACAAGCAATGGAGCTGCAATTAGTAACATGTTTTTTTTTTTGAATACCACTTGGAAATTTAAACATCCTCATAATTAACTCAAGTCAAGAAGGAAATCAAAGTACAATTATAGTCAATTCATAAATGTCAACAATGAAAACTCTACATATCAACAACATATGGGATAGCATTCGGAGAACAGATGGCAGTTTGAGGACATATGTCTGAATTCTCACTACCCCGCCCCTTAATTCTGACAGAAATGACCTAGGAAATATGAAACGAAAGAAAATCTTGCACAGAGAAGTGAGATTTAAATGCTACAAACAGAGAATTTTTACTGAGAAAAATGCCAGATTGGATTCATATAAAGGAGGATTTCTGCACTGATTTCAAAAAAATAGTTTTTAGAACAATTTTATATTTACAAAAACACTGCAGATAGTAGAGAGAATTCCTATTTTACCCGTCTCCTACCTACACACTTTCCCCTATTATTCATGTCTTGCATTAGTATGGTCCATTTGTTTAAACTGATGAATCAATATTGATATGTTATTATTAATTAAACTACATGGTTTTTATTAAGGTTCACTCTTTGTGTTGTGCAATTCATTGCAGTTTGACAGTTTATAATGCCATGTGTTTGCCATTACAGTATTTTACCAAAGAGTTTCACTGATGCAAAATTTCCCTGTGCTTTATCTATTTATCCCTCCCTCCTCCAAATCTCTGATAACCACTGATTTTTTTTAAACTGGCCTGTAGTTTTTCCTTTTTTTAAGAAGTAGCATAATTGGAAGTACATAGTACATAAGCTTTTAAGACTGGACTCTTAGCAATGTGCATTTAATATTCCTCTATATGTTTTCATGGCTTGAGAGTTCATTGCTGTGAACAAAATACCCAATAATAATAGCTTAGAGGAAGAAAAGTTTATTTTGGCTCATGGTTTTGAAGGCTTCAGTCCATGGTTGTCTGGTTCCATTGCTCTGGTCTGAGGTGAAGCAGAAGATCATGGTGGTGGGGCATGATAAAGGAACTGCTTAGATGTGGTGGCCAAGAAGCAGAGAGAGAATAAGAAGCCAGGGACCAGATATATAATTCCCAAGACATGCCCCTGTGATCTACTTTCCCCAGCCATGCCTCACCTGCCTGCAGTTACCACCATGAGTCCATTCAAATGAATTAATTCACCGATTAGGTTACAGCTCTTGCAATATAATCATTTTATCTATGAGCATTCTGCATTGTCAAAGATGAACCTTTAGGGGGGGCATCTCATATCTAAACCATGACATTCTACTCCTGATCCCCAAAAGCTCATATTCCATATCACCAAACAAAATGCATTTAGCTCATCTCCAATAGTTCAAAGTCTCCTCGATACTTAAGGCAAACTCATGCCTCTGAAACTCTGTAAAAATTAAAAGCAAATTATATACATCCAATATATAATGGTACAGAGTGAACATTTCCATTCTAAAAGGGAGAGAAAGGGGTGTAGAGAAAAGGATGCAACAAAAACTAGACTGGAGCCCAGCCAGGTATTTTCTGTAGCTCTGCCTCTG